TTTGCTTAGAGTAAAATAACAATTTGTTGCTGTCACTTGGAGAAGCGCTAAGCGCGCTGAAAGGTATGAGTGATGGCGGGCGTTTGCAATAATTTTGCTTTACGGCAAAAAAACAAAAGGAAGAAAGCGAAAACACAGAAGAACAAAATATGCCACTACATGATAGATACAGGCTGAAGGCGGCACAAGTTCGCTGTGAGTTTTGGTATTTATGCATTAAATCAATGCGATTTCTATGCAAACTTTTCTTTCTTTGCTGCTTTCTGGCGCTTTGAACCTTGAACTTTAAATGCCAACTAAATGGAAATTGTGTAATTAGTTTGCAGCAATGCACACGCAAGCACACACACACAAAGATATATATATATGCATACGGGAAACATTTTTGTAATTCAGTTTTTCGTTCGAAAGGATAAAAAGTAAACTGCGAATGTGTGTTTTTCTGCGAAATGTCTGAATGACATGATATTAATTCCGAGAAGCGATTACATTAAATTATTGCTGTTATTATAACTGTTAGTTTCCGGTGAAATGTCAAAGTTAAATAATTAATAATAAATAGTATTTAATCTATGTATTGATTTAAACGAATTTCATATGAAGAAGTAAATAATTTATTCGGAAATACAAAACTCCATATTTTCTTAATCTATAATATAATTATACACTTAGTCTGAAAAATTAAATCCAAAAGCCAAATGTGTAAAGATATTAAAAAAATTAAAATATTCCGTGGAAACTTGATAAAAACAACTTGACAGGTGTCCATTTTCTATTAAACTATAGGCAAAATTAAACATCTGAAATATGCAAGATTGCGCCTAAATGTAGGCAACGTTTTATATTTTAGTTACCGAAATGAGGTGTTGCCTACAATTAGGATGATTTTAACTTTATTTAAATAAAAGAAATAATTGAGCACAAAACATAAATACCAAGCGCCAAAAATTAATCATGAAGACATTTTAAGCAAAAGGTAATCATTTAATACTTGCTACTTCTTCGAAATACAGTTTGTATATTTATTTAGACCCAGAATATAGAATATTCAACGAGTATACCATTTTACAATTAACCATACAAAAAAGCCCAGTCTAATTAAGCTTAGTTTTACTTAAATTTAAGCTATCCAAAAGAAAGAAGGAAATTTTAAAAGTACAGGCTGGCTCAGCGGGACAAAGTTGATCAAATGAAAAGCCATACTGATGCTTGATTGATTGAAAGAAAAAGTGATTCCAATCCTCCAAAGTAAGGTGAGAATGCCAGACTGTTGGTGGCGGATAAAGCATCTGCAACTTCTGCCAATACGTGTCTTGATGATGCTTCAAACACATAGGCCGCCGAAGTAGGTGGAAAAAGCTGGGAATATTTTTTAATTCAGAAAAAAGCAGAAGACCTCAGAGCATTTCAAATGGAGTGGGCAGTATATACCTGCGCATACAGAAAACCAGCACAAAGGACGACAATGCCATTACACTAGAAGCAGAAGAAGTTGAGGAGGACTAAAATTTGGACATGACTGAACTGAAAATAGTAACTAGTATTTTGGACTCCTCTAACTGAGTAGAAGACAAGTGCATTAACGTCATAAGAAAATTGATTAGTTTGTTTTGACATTAGTCCCTTCTCCTGATATATATTATAATTAAAAGATTTCATATTCACGTATTGTATGTTCTTAATAATATCAAAAGATTTTTATATTATGTACATACATACATATCTACAATCGATAATAATTAAATCACACACACCGTTAAGTTTTTATCATGGCAGTTACCAATTATATTATTGATTGATTATTAATAAAAACCATAATATATACATATACACTCATATAGAAGACTGCACAAAATATTTCTCAATAAAGACACACATTCAAAAAAATCCCTAAAATATCTACATACTCATGTATGAGTCCAACATATACTCAAAATAAAACAAAAAGGGAGAGCTGGTTTTGGCCATGCTGAAGTTTTTATACCTTTAATGACAACATGAAAGTTAAGGTAATTAATTTAGGATTATATATTAATTCTTATGTCTGAACAAGTCGGGTGTTTGGAGGCTGTAATATATGGTGATACGATTTCGAAGATTTTCGGTGAATATGTTTATTTTCAGATACGAATGTGCAACACCAAATGTCATACTCTTACATGATATCTGATGGAATTTCGCTTAATATGTGAAAAAATATGTTTACGGGTGCTATATGTTTTACTCGTCCGATTTCAATCATTTTTACCAGTAATGTAGATGATTTTTTTTTAAATTTAATTTTGGGTTTTACAATAGTTTTATGGAACTTTCTCAGACCATATATTTTTGGGAATATGTGCAAAAATTACTACAACAGTCTTGGACGGTACAAACTTTAACCTTTTAATGGTATGAATTTTATCTCTTCTCCTTCCGGTACTTACATTAATCGGACCAACCATTTCATTGCACGTGGGAGGTATAAAAAAAACATTTAAAACAAAAAAAAAAAAACTTATAATCAATATTTCCAGTGCATTATCATGAAATTTATAAAACAATGTGTATTTACTTGTATGCACGAATATAAACATACACTGCAAGTTAATTTTGGTACAACACGGCGTATACGCAACTTAATTTCGATCAATGCTCAGCGATGCTGTACACCAAAGAGTAAATAGCGCTTGTTGCTATAAGCTAAATGAATATATGTTTATATAAACTTTTGCATATAAACATGCATGTATGTACAATTGTTGGAAGTACACAATATGCTACTCCATGCTCCATTGACCTGACCTACTTTACGAAAGACTCTGACACTCGAATGCAAATGAAAAAAAAAATAAAAAATAAAAAAAAAATAGAAATGCCAATAATTCGTGTTACTCTTCTAGTTCATGTAATTAGGTAAATGAGTGCATATGTATATGGAAATCCCACGCATGAACGCAAATGATTGACTACACGAAATATTGTATTTTATGCCTCCTTTCACGTTGTTCGGTTACCCCTAAGTTGCTTGAAGTGCATATTAAGCTATCGAATATGTACGTATGAATGTATTTCTCATGTCATTATGCACTTAAAATGTGTGCTTTTCTTGGAAGTAAAACTTTTTCCTAGAGTTTTGTTGATTTTTCTGCGAATTCAGCTGGATATAAATCGCAGAGATTTTCAAACAGTTACACGTGGATGTTTGTGGGGAAAGCGCAATTTATATAGTTGGAATTTAAGGTTCTATATTTCAGGTAAGCTTGCTTAGGCAATCGCTAGGGATGGCAGATTAAATGAGGTATAATTTTAGTTAAAAAGCGAGAAGCAAAGCCTATAGTGATTGAAATCATCATAAGTTTTCCTATTCTACATTTCTCGAAAGAATCTTCTTCTTTAAGCAATTAATTACCCATATTTTTATATGGCAGTCTCAAGAAAAGCAGAATTTCCGGAAAAAATGATCTGATATCCAGCATAACAAAGAGTAAAATTCAATGAGTAGGTAGGTAAAAGTGGTTAACCAATTGCGAGCATCGATGCACCATAAGCAAATTAGATTTATTATAATATTTTGAAAGTAGCACTGTATCTATGTTTCCTTTTTAATCCACCTGAACTCCCTTATGAATTCTTTTGGGTACTTTGCTTAAGTTTCTTCCACACGGCAGAGTGAGCCCATGAAAGCCATCGAATTTGAGATATTCTCTTTTTTCAGGGAATATTAGGCCTTTGACCCTCAAACTTGCTGCAAATTGCGTTCAAGTTTTGCTCCCACCTTAACGCGCCATCCCTGCGAAATTATTCCTTCAGTAGCGGTTGCGATCATTTTCCAAAGAATAACCTTGGTCGTAATAAGTTCGTTCGATTTTTATATACCTTCTATAGCATCGTCACCGGGGATCTAATAGAAGGAAGGTCTTTTCATTTCAACCATACCTTCTAGAGCTCTGAGACAGTTCAGTAAGATTTTTGTGTTTGCTGAGATCGAGTTTGCTTGATTATCAGGAGTTCCATATTTTCTTGCTTATATTTCTTTCTAAAATTTTTTTTTGCCTAGAATGACTTTTAGGCTAACTACGTTTAGAACTGTTGGTCCACTTGAAATGAAATTTTCAAGTATCCCTGCTGAAGAGAGAAGGGCTTTGCGCAAGGCGATTGGACCACAACGATATCCTGCGAAATATTTATTCCCAAGAGGTTTGTGGAAACTTGCCTCTGTCTACTTCAGCGATAATCTGCGTAAGCAGTAGGGAAGCCAACCGGTAGTCTGTTCCAGTAAGAAGTGTGTTCAACGTGTGATTCCAGAGCATAGTTGAGAGAACAGCGTCTTGAGGAATACATCTGGATCACCGGTATTCCCCAAAGCTAGTTGTACCTGCCCAACCCTAAAGTAGCTGAATAGTGAAGTCCACCAGTGGAATATTCATACTTAAGTATTCTAGCGCAGTTCCTACGACATCTGATAGAAAGTAACTGGAAGTTCTCTTTATGTTCTGGCACATAAAACATTATTTTTAGCGATTATGTTGATACCTTTAAGCTATTTCGATTATGTGCACGGACCAGTCCTATTTAGCCCAGCCGATTTATAGATGCTGAAGATTTTCACCTTCCATATTTTTATTTTTTTATGAATATCTAATAATACTTCTATGGTCTAGAATTTGAGGAAGAAGAACAGTTCATAGCTTAGCCATATCTGTTATGCTCTCAAACTCTCTACAAAAGTCCCTTCACCCACCTTCTTGAGTACGTGTGAGTTCCAATAATGTTCATAGGAGTTTGTATTTGCTTTAGTAAATAGCATACATGATTTAAAGAGGCAGACAAGCTCTCATGGCTACCAGTGAAGCTTCTGTTTCCCACCCATTTTTTATAGTAATTAAATTTTTTGATTTTTCGCCTTTCTTTGTTTTTTAGTTGCGAAATTCGTCAAACTTCGGATATTTAAATTAATTTTTGAGCATTTAATTCTGAAGAACTATTAACTATTAATTATTAATATTAACTGTACTCACTCTGCGATTATTGCCAAAACTATTTTGCCGTCCGAGAGGCTCTTCAGTACTGTACTCTTTTTGAGATTGTGATGACGATGATAGATTTGGAATATTTGTAGCGATAGCTACTTGCGATTTTGTGGAACTCATAATCACAGTTCATTTATTTAAATTCTGCAAACAAAAAGAGAGAATGAAGAATTTTATTTAAAAAAAAAAACATTAAAATATTTATCTGGGAATTTAGAGTATAAGAAAATGGAAGGAAAGATATAATGTAAAGGAAAATTGGCTTTAAAATTTTTTTTAAAATTTTTACATATATTTAAGCGCATTAGCCAGTGATGACAGCAATAACAATAAAAAAATTACAAAAAATTACCTTAGGTTAATTTACTGCATTTCTACATTAACTATTTTATAATAAACGCATTTCCTCACTGTTTCGATATTGTTTATGGTTGCCTGTGGCAATAAAAGGAAACAATTTTTACGTATTTTACTGTACAACGGCGTCACATCCATTGTTTCATATGAACAGCTTAAATGAGCTTTTCTCAATGAGTTTGGTAGTGTTTTTTTCTTTTAGAAATCTGGATTTTCGAAAACGCTTTAAGAGTTTAAAATCATCATTTTGTTGGTCAATATATTGGCAGTGCAGCGCGTACAGAAGATTTTTGGATTTTGTACACAAAAGAAGATTTCAATGAGTTTTTCCTTAGGAATTTTTTGCTTTTGGTGATTGGTTGTTGGTTTTATGGATTTTAAATTTATTTTTTTTTTGTTTTTTTTTTTTTCACTGGAGTTGCTCCAAAATCACAATTTTCACAATAGCACATATACGAAAGTTTAGCAAATTTTCCAAAAAAAAAAAATGAACACAAGTTTGAAAACTATTTCCCTTTCGTTTTAGATTCAGGGAATTTCGAAAATTTTCTCACTTTTCACGGGTTGACCAATTTATAAAAAAAATGTTACTAATAGAGTCTAGTAAGTAACTTTTGTATTAAATTTAGGTATTTTCATATTTTTAAATATTTTGTTGTTTTAGTTTATTATTGTAGTTAATACTATATTCTGAATTGCCGTTTTTTCGATTCTAATTTTCTTTGTTTTTTTTTTAGGGAAGGTGAAAATTCTTATCACAATAGCGCATCACTACAAATTACAACAATACATTTACGTTTACAAGTTTGCTTGGGGCTTGTAATTTCACTTATTTAAAGCTTCTTTTTATTATATATATATATTTTTTTTATTTTAATAATTTTACACATTCCTATTTAGTCCTTCCACTGTAAAAAGACAGCACGTAAATTCCATTTCTTACACTTTTACATACACCTATTATTTTATAATTTTACAAACATATATGTTCATACATATATACTAGCAATCGGCATAGCTTAACAATAAATTTAGGAAGTTCGCTTCCAATTGTTTACGGCAACGCAACCAAGTCGTTAGGTTGGCTATTAGAAGAGCCATCAATTTAAACGCGTCTTCACCCCCATCAATGTCTTGTCGTCTAAATCAGCACTAAAATTAAATTAATGAATTGTTTTCGCGGATACGAAAACAGAAAAAATAAAATGAAATAAGAGTTTGAACAAAAACAAAGCAAACACCCGCAGACGCCAGCCAGTCTGTCGTAATTAAGGCTGTGCTCGGTGGTGAGTTGCGGCAATCGAATGTTGCGAAATCCGCAATACGAAACATATTTCGTAGAGTAAACAAGCAAGCACTCACTCACTCAGAAGCCAATCACCAAATTACAGGTGGAATTTTTCACAATATTTTTTTTTAAATTTATTTTTTGTTTATTTTTTTCAGTTCTTGTAGGGTGTGTGTGCATGTGTATGCGTGTTCGATTATATTGACATTGAAATCACCGTGGCTGGACGAGTTGGCAATTTCCACGGCTTTGCAACACACTCGAAGAACGTATGAGAGAGGAAAATAAACTTTACAAACCTATTGTATACGCATAAGTTTGTAATATTGAACAAAAATAAGCGAAATTGTTTTTATATGTATATTATGGCAATTAGTTAAGTATTTAATAAAACTCTATTTTTACAATTTTTACTTTGATTAAAAACAAACAAAATGTTTTGGTAATAGAGAATTTACAATCCCACACTTTACTTCAAGATGCATACGAAAAAATAGGTGGAGCAGCTCAGCCGAAAATAACTTAAACGATTATAAAGCGCCAATTATTATTATATAAAAATATATCACTTTAGGTATTTTGACTTTTGGCCAAGATGTGGAATTTACGACGTTTTTCAAACCGATTTGGGTAGCAAAGGATTTTTTTAAATCTAATTCAGACAGGTTAGCTAAAATTGCGCCCATAATTATAGATAGCAATGACTGTTTCACATAAAGCAAAACACATAATATAGATTCCCGCTAAATTAGTTAATATGGAATGCTTCCACCCTCTTCTACTGTCTTTATTTCATAAATATTGAAACAAAAATAAAATCGAAAAATTATATATTTTTTTTAATTTATTTCAATATTTTTCCAAAATTTTTGCATTTTTTAGTAAGGAGAAAGAACACTCTTTTTGAATAAATCTTTCGGTATTAGGGAAGTACGACTGTTACCAAAATTCAGTTGCATTTTAATTTTCTAAAATATATTATTTAAATCATAAAATATGACTATATATATATGTACATGTATAATTGGTGCCTTGTAACCGCTGAAACGTTTTCGAACGAGCTTCTCCCCTCAATTTGTGGTTTAACGTATGTATTTGATTTAAACAAACGAAGGCACCTACAGTTTACAGGATTTTTTAAGTTTTGATTTGTATATTAGAAATATATTCGGAGAGCTTAAAATTCCCTGCTATAATTGTGGATGTTGATCGAGCAAGCACCCTAGTCCTCATAATAGCAGTACGCAATGCTAACCACTCGGCTATTGCGGCTGCTAATCTATGATTACAATATGGAATAATAATAATCACCGTACAGGAATGTTAAGCACGAAATAAATAAATGTTTAATTAATGTTAAAGGAAAACATTTTCCACTCAACGTACACAAATCCTACACACTTATGCAAACATACCTACATAAACCCATAAAACTGTCATGAAATGCGATTAGTGCAAATAGTTCAATATGATTTGGTCAAATAATTCATTAAATATTGATGAAAACGCAATTTGCGCATATCCACGTACATATGTTAGTAAGTAAGTAAGTATGTATGCATGTATGAATCTATGAGTAAGTGGCGTTAAGTGATTTGCCGCAATATAACGGTGATGGCGCGTGCGAACGCAAAAACAAATGTCAAAACGTGCCAATTCACGGGGAAATACCCATAAACACCTGAGTATGTATGTATGTATGTATGTATGGCAAATTAAGAAATCGTCAACAACACATCTCAGGCATAACACAGCAAAAGCCGCTAAAAGTTTTCATATACAAAGTGTAAATACATACATACATACATATGTACATGTATACTAGAGTGTTGTATTGATACAAATAACATTCGATTTACATACATATTTATATACAACCGCATATAAATGCACAATATTAACAAAGGCTATTATATATTTATATGTACAATGACTTCTGGGTGCCATCAGGTATATATATACATAGATATGTTATTCAATTGCATACACGAGCACACTCACATACATACATAGAGAAATTCTGTACATAATAATTATTAGCGAGCAGGCTAACAAGCTATAAACTATTGGCAATACACAACATGCATATACGAGTACATATATGTGTGTATACATATGCGCACAACACTAACAACAATGAATTATTGTAAATAAGAAAACCAACGATAATATGATCAGCAACAACAGCTGCAAGCAGAAGCGGAAATAGTGAGAACAACGAGCGATGAATGTATTCGTACGCTTCGGGCCATATTCTAAACACACATACATATGTACATATACACAGCCAAACAACCGATAAACCAACCAACCAACACACAGCAACACGGATAACATTTTTATGGCAGTATTTGTTTTTGGTTTTCCGTAAACGCTCAGCGTCCGCCGTAAAAAAGGTGAAGTTCGAGAAATTTGGGGCAAAAATATTGTACACGAGCGTGGCCATTCTTCTTCGTCACTGATGTTGTTGCTGTTGGTGTTGGCCATGCGTTGTTGGGGAAAATGGAAACTTTTATGAAAGAGCAGAGGCGTGATTTCGTCGAAGAGCAGCAAAGAGCGTACGATTCTTTTGTGAAAGCATGTCGAACAGCAAGAAATAAAGGGAAGTGGAAGTTGAAAATACGTATGAAATTATGTGGATCGTAAATATGTACATATGTATGTTTACATATCGTATATAAATCTATGTATGTATGCATGTATGTATGTATGTAACTAACTATTCGGTTGTTTTTATCGAAGTAAATATAATTTTTATATTATATACATATATATATATAGTTTATATGCGAATATCGTATAGAATTGATTTATATTTTGGATGCTGCAAACATCATACAGCTAAGGACACATAAATGACACAAAATTAGATTCTAGCTAAATCTTAAAAATTGTCCACTGTAAGTTGTTCATAATCGAAAAACTGTGGCAATAAACTTGCTGCCGTAAAAGATTTTACATCTCTGCTTTGTGAAGCCTACGCTAATTGGAAGCGGACACATTATTGGTACTAATTCCTTTGCATATGCGTAATCCAAGTAACTTTCAATAAAAATGCATGATATTTACTTATTTGGATAGATTGTTTCAGGAAAGCAACAAAAGTTGAACAGAACCCAAATATATTGGCCATAGCTCGAAAGCCATGGCCACGAAAAACAAATGAGTGCTCGGATGCTGCTATAATAAGAAAGATAATAAATAATCCATTCTAGCCATCGCGACCGATAGCATCAAATATAAGCCAATCACTGGGTACAAAGACATCAAACAGGCTTCCTCGAAGCTAGTCTAATGCGGCAAAATTATTGGGACGTATTTCCAGTAAAAGCCCATTTCTGTACAAAACGAGCATTTTGAAGAGATTGTCTTTCACTTGAGCTTATCAAGGAAAATGGCTGAAATATTTGAAACCCATATTGTAGTGACGAAACGAAAATCGACAGGGTAGGACCAGGTAACAAAGTCTTTCTCATCATCCCAAACGCCTAGAATATAA